CCTTCTGCTGATTTCTGTTCGCCTGGTATCTCAGATTTGAATTTAACCGTTTTCTGCCATTGGAGAGGTGGAAAGTGGAGGCAGAAAATGAGAAAAGTAGATCGAAAAGAGAGAGCAACGAAATACAAAGAGAAACAAGAAAAAAACAGAAATTAAAAAAGAGCGACCTCTGCTGATTTCTGTTCGCCTGGTATTTTTGGAGAGGTGGAAAGTGGGGCAGAGGAGAGAGAGGACGAACAAAGAAAAAGCAGCGACGCGCGTCGCCGTGGGGGGGGGGGGGGGGGGGGGAAGAAGGAAAGAAAAGCGAGAGCGCCCGGTTGGGTTTGTGCGGGGGGGGGGGGGGGGGGGGGGGGTGGGGGGGGGGGGGGGGATTGAGCGACCTCTGCTTCGTTCGCCTGGTATCTCAGATTTGAATTTAACCGTTTTCTGCCATTGGAGAGGTGGAAATTGGAGGCAGAAAATGAGAAAACGTAGATCGAAAAGAAAGAGCAACGAAATACAAAGAGAAACAAGAAAAAAAGAGAAATTGAAAAAAGCAGCGACCTTCTGCTGATTTCTGTTCGCCTGGTATCTCAGATTTGAATTTAACCGTTTTCTGCCATTGGAGAGGTGGAAAGTGGAGGCAGAAAATGAGGAAAAGTAGATCGAAAAAAGAGAGCAACGAAATACAAAGAGAAACAAGAAAAAAAGAGAAATTAAAAAAAGCAGCGACCTTCTGCTGATTTCTGTTCGCCTGGTATCTCAGATTTGAATTTAACCGTTTTCTGCCATTGGAGAGGTGGAAAGTGGAGGCAGAAAATGAGAAAACGTAGATCGAAAAGAGAGAGCAACGAAATACAAAGAGAAACAAGAAAAAAAGAGAAATTAAAAAAAGCAGCGACCTTCTGCTGATTTCTGTTCGCCTGGTATCTCAGATTTGAATTTAACCGTTTTCTGCCATTGGAGAGGTGGAAAGTGGAGGCAGAAAATGAGAAAAAGTAGATCGAAAAAGAGAGCAACGAAATACAAAGAGAAACAAGAAAAAAAAGAAATTAAAAAAAGCAGCGACCTTCTGCTGATTTCTGTTCGCCTGGTATCTCAGATTTGAATTTAACCGTTTTCTGCCATTGGAGAGGTGGAAAGTGGAGGCAGAAAATGAGAAAAAGTAGATCGAAAAAAGAGCATCGAAATACAAAGAGAAACAAGAAAAAAACAGAAATTAAAAAAAGCAGCGACCTTCTGCTGATTTCTGTTCGCCTGGTATCTCAGATTTGAATTTAACCGTTTTCTGCCATTGGAGAGGTGGAAAGTGGAGGCAGAAAATGAGGAAAAGTAGATCGAAAAAAGAGAGCATCGAAATACAAAGAGAAACAAGAAAAAAAGAGAAATTAAAAAAAGCAGCGACCTTCTGCTGATTTCTGTTCGCCTGGTATCTCAGATTTGAATTTAGCCGTTTTCTGCCATTGGAGAGGTGGAAAGTGGAGGCAGAAAATGAGAAAACGTAGATCGAAAAGAGAGAGCATCGAAATACAAAGAGAAACAAGAAAAAAACAGAAATTAAGAAAAGCAGCGACCTTCTGCTGATTTCTGTTCGCCTGGTATCTCAGATTTGAATTTAACCGTTTTCTGCCATTGGAGAGGTGGAAAGTGGAGGCAGAAAATGAGGAAAAGTAGATCAAAAAAAGAAAGCAACAAAATTCAAGAGAAACAAGAAAAAACGAGAAATTAAAAAAAACCAGCGCCCTTCTGCGGATTTCTGTTGGCCTGATATCTCAGATTTGAATTTAACGATTTTCTCCATATTTATTTTTTTCTCATAAGCCAGACATTTATATACTGACTGAGTACGGGTATAACAGTAGAGTCGCGTCCCCAGAAGCGATTCACACGTTCCTTTTCGTTATATTACGAAACAATTGGTCATCCATCCGTGAGCGCTTGGACTGTGCATATTAATCTCAGTATTATATACGGACATGACAAATACGGAAATGGGAGAAATTGTGAAAAGCGAGCATTAAAGAATTACTGGAAAAGCTTGTGGCGGCCTCCTCTGATATGCATACTCGCATATAATGGTACTGCCAGTTGGAATGCGGGGGCCATACATCTATCTGCATTATTCGGTTGTTTTGGCATTTCAATGGGTTTTGCTTTGGCCATATCGTCGTTGTCAATGGGCTGTCTTTATACGTGCATGCGCTGCCGACTTTATAGCTATCAAAACGTGAGTCGTGTGCATATGAATAATAATATTCAAATGATGACTTTCCAAAGTCTTCCAGACACTGAATCACTCAGGAAGGAAAAGAGGTATGTGTGTACATTGGTATGATCTCAGTAAAGAAGAGACAACACCAGAGACATATCAGACTTAAAACAGTCCAGTGATTGGTATTGTCAGCGAGTAACATTCCCTGCTTTTTCTCTATACCTATATATATACGATTATTATATACGTCTGTAAGTATAAAGCAGCCGAAGCATATTGTACGAGTACATAAGTGTAAGTCCAGAAATGTATTTGTCAGTATATGTACATATATAGAAGACCGACACGTGACTGTTTTGTATAAACGGGCATAAATAAATATCTGTAATGTAAAGCCTATAGATGGCTCACAGAAAACTTGAGAGCCTGAACAGAACAGAACAAACGACTGTCGGCCAGTTCGGAGTAATCGTCGTCTGGAGATCTATTCCCGCAGGTGGCTGGCTGTCTCTCCTCCTGGCGAGCGGAAGTAGCAGCAATCGATGGTAACATCCAGCAGCGGCGCATGCGCGCACGGAACACGGCCAACGAGCAGCCATACCAAAATGCATTTTGGGCCTGTTTCGAGCCGCGATGGCGGCATCAAGCGACGAAATTCCAAAACGGCAGTGACTGGGGGTACTGGGGGACTCTATTCGATTCAATCCAAGTCGGACGTGGATGTGGACACGGCTTTTGTTGGCCACTAAATTTTATTTCATTTCATATTTTTCTCAAAAAGGGAGTTCATTAATATTCCGGGCAGGCGGCTGTGCGCTAAAAACGCTTAAGCGGCGTTGCAGAGGAGCGACGTCTCGGCTGCGGCAGCGGCTGCGGCTACCTGTCGTTGGCGCATGTACAGGTAAGATGTGCGTGTGCACCAACACAAGTGCCTGCACCCCCACTTTGCCGGAGTGTGCGCGCGCTGGCAACGGGTCTCGGTCCTCGTTTTAGACAGCATTTTGTTCGGTGGCGGCCAGTGTGTGCGTGTGTTGGTGTGTGTATTTTTGTGAGCGAGTGTCAAATGCCAACTAATTGAAACTTCTTCAATTGCGGGCGACTTTGGGGCTGCGCTGCCGTCCGGACCGAGGTGTGGTGCTGAGCCAGTCGCTAGGCTTCGAAATCAGTTGCCAATTAGTCTTCAGCGTCGACGGATTACAATTGTGGTTCGCCTTCGCCCTCGTCTTCGGGCCCACAGAGAGCACACACCGAAGACCTGCTGCTAAGTGATTTTCAAAATAACAAGCGTTTCATTGATAAAAGCTGTCTTGTAGCCGGGTGTCCGAGCCAAATCACATACACATATATTGTTGGCCGAGCCGAATCATTTGTGCCCTGTGGGAATGTTTCTGTGAATCGTCGCGCGTCTCGGATCGTATCGCATCTGTTGGTAAATTGGCAAGATGTCGGCATAGCTGAAGTTGAAAAGCGATCTTTGAGAGCGCTATGCTGCATCTAGTCAGTTATTCAATGGAACAGTCAACAGATCGAGATGGCGGAAAGCTTAAATCATTATTGGATAATTATATTTTTAAAGATATTGGCTTACATTGGATATTTTTTGTTTTTTTTGCAGACATTTTGAACACTTTAAGGTCTGAAGGAATACTGGGAAATATAACGGTAACTGACAGAATAGATCCCCGGAGAAAGGAGATAAGAATAGTTTATCCATCGAAATTTTCAGAAATTATACTCCTAGTCATTTCGATTTCTCTCAAATAAGAATAAATATCAATATACGGTTCTGTTGGATAGTAAAATTGCTGGAAATATGATACAACAAAATAAACATAATACTTCCTTTCTAATCTTTTTTTGTTAAAAAAAAATCGTTTCAAATCAAATTCTAGTCTGGCCGCCAAGTCGATTTCAAACCGATACCAAGGGCTGCAAAACGCGACTGCAAGATGCAGTCAATACTATCGCTATCTACCTAAACAGCTGTTCGCGTTTTATAACGTTTGCACCAGAAAATATACCCTTGCGAAAAATTATATTATGGAATTGATGAAAGATCTGTCATCTCAGGCTCCAATGAATGCAGAAACTAGTCAGTGTCTGAAATGCATGAAATAGGCCAATCTGTGAAAAGTTATTATTAATTTGGGTTCAAAGCACTTGAAAATATAATTTTAATATATATTTAATGATAGGGTATACAAATGACATACTACCCTACCGGTTGAGAAGCAACAAGTGTTTAAAACTCAGAACACACTATTGTTTTCTGCTCATTTTATTTTTTCGACATTTTGGATTTAAGCAAGTCAATAAAAAAGAGTCCATTAATCGGATAAAATTATATGTTATGTTATGTGCTGAGGGTCATAAAATATCGAGATATCTGATTTCCGGTCTTGGACAGAGAATGATTAACCCATTTTCGACCAAGGAGCATTTAAATATTTCCACGAAATTATGAAACTGGAAGAGTTAGGATAAAAGTCATATTTGTTTGTAATTAAAAAAGATGGATGGATCTGCAAGGAGAATTACAAAACAGTAAAGTCTTCCGCGGTTTAACTAAAGTAGGTCAAGCGTTTAAGTAGAGGGGGCTTAAGTGGGTTAAATTCGTTCATGACTTATGGTATATTGGTATATAATGGTATATTTTAGCAATTTGGTAGTATATTGCTACCAAATCAGTTCAAATCGAAATACCGAAAATACCGCGCGGATGTGTCACTGGCCGAGGAACCGCCCGCGGAACCTTGTGCCGCATATGCTCGGATACACGCTGGGCCGCAACGAATGGAGCGTCATCTTGTTATCGTCCTCGTCCAGGCCGTACTTGGAGAAGTGCTACGAAGCGCGTATCGTTTGCATAGCAGGCGCAACGCAGATGTCCCTCCCAATTCATTTCGATCAGACGCTGCGCATCCTTCACAACAGGCACAGGCTGGGTCTGGGTCTTGTCCACGGGCCATACCTGCTCGAGGGTGACTTGTGCCTCACGATTCAGGCCTTGGTTGATAGGCGGCCTCTTCTCATCGTCAGGATAAATGATGATCCCCTTGTTACGGAAGTAAACTGCAGAGAGAGAGCGAGAATAGTTCTTGGCGGATGATGCTTGTCTGGCCTGGCTCCTCCCTCACTTACCAATCTCATCCAGATTCAGTCCAGCCACGTCCATTTCCATGGCAAAGAACACAGTGCCATAGCCCTCGCGTCCAATGGTGAAATTGGGCACCACACAGGATCCATCCTCGGCCAGGTAGGACTTGGGATCATCCAGCGAGGGTATCGTGTAGTAGCCCACGCGTCGCATAGTCTGACGCCCCATAGCGCCTCGCTGCAGCCTCAATGGCCAGTCTGGAGCGATTCACTACAGTCTCCTGCGAGAGGGCCGCCTGCTGCTGCTGCTGCGATGCGAAGGTATCCCGCTTGGCAATGGCGCTGGTTTGCGACTTATCCGTATCCTGCCGATGTTGGTCTCTGCTGTCCCTGGAAGAGAAACCGCTGCTGCTGCTACTGCTCGCCGTCTCTGTGGGACTGTCGGACTTTTGGTGGTGACGTCCCAAAGCCGCTTGGAGCCTTTGGCGACCGTTGCTGTTCAAAATGGGATGCCGGCTGTTGCTACAGGTAAGGTATTTACTGGTACTATATCGTTACTAACTAAGTTAACGTTACGTAGTTACTGCACGGTGCCTAGTTAGTTTAGGCGTTTAAGCGAGTTTAAGTAAAAGAGTTTAAGCCGATTTTGCGGGCGTCCGCAGACGCACACACACACGTAACTATGCTCATATGTCGGGCTGTTGCTCCACTTAACTACAGGTTAGGTTACTACTGTTACTAGATAGTTACTAAGTTAACGTTACTTTACGTAGTTGCTGTTCGTAGTTAGTTTCAGCATTTAAGCTAGCTTAAGCGCTTTGGCGCGCCGCGTCCACACTCACACAAACACACATATCATAACGGATCTCTCACTAGGTATCGATATAAATTTATAAATTATATTTATATAAATTGTAATTGAGATGTATCTCATGAGATCTGAAAAACACGATGGCTATAACTATATAAGTCTTTCTATAACTATAGCTCCTGCTAAGGATTGGTAAGGACATAAACTGGACCTAGACGTACAACAATCGATAGTATTGTGTTCGTATCGATAGCATAGCTAGGGCTGCAAAAACTGCAAAACCGACGCTACCCGGCTACCGGCTACTAGGACTAGCCACTGACAGGACTTTCCAGGACTTCCAGGACTACGCACTACACTGCACAGGACAAGATGGATACGAGCAAGGCTGGAGCCAGTGCCACTGCTGCGACCAGCAATGCGTCCTCCCAGGACCAGCAACAAGCTGTGGGCCCTTTGCGACCGGCAAAGCCTGGCCGGATGAAGAAACCTGACCAGTACACAAACCGCCAGCCCGTTTGTCCCATGTTTTACCTCTTCAAATCATTTAGTCTAGTGGAATTTAACGCCAACGATCTGAAGAACGCGATCCAGTACCTTAAAAGCCCCAGTCACATAGCAGATGTGAAAATCGGCCAGGTCAATTTGGTATCGTGCCTCACATATTTTCGAAATGAAAAGTTTGTAATAATATTAGACGAGTATCATCTTTCCCATATGGTATGTACCCATATATCCCTCAGTTTGGCTGATTTTAATTAATATATGTATTGATATTTGCAGACTTTTTTACCCGTACCGAAATGGAAGGTACTTGTAATAGCTGCATTCAACTTGCAGGGCACTATGTTCCATTATTTATACATTCGTGCGGTAAGTTGCCTTGCCTCTGGTCTGCTCTTTTAATACATCAATAGTCATATATTTTTGGCCTTTTGACAGGTGCCAGTTACACAGGAGTCCCGCGTAGGTTCGAGGAAAATCAACTCGGCTCTACACCTTGTAGTAAAACAAGTAATCAAAAAGGGATATTCAAACAACCTCTTGGCAATAGTGTCTGACCACTGTCCTGCAAACTTGACTGGCATGCCCGAAGCCTCCGAAGCGTTCCCGATTCTATGGGACAAAGAGCATTTCAAGAAGGGACTCGCGAAACACAAGCTCACGGATGTTACGGACTATTTGTATGGAAAGTATACAGTAGACGACTGGAAGAGTAAGTTGGAAAATGCGCCAAAGTTGGACAACTCAGCGTCCGAGAAGCAACAAAAACTTTACGACAGTGAGCTTCGAAACATGAATTTGATTATGGAGCGCCATTTCGCCATTTCATCGGATCCCTTAAAACTCTATGCAGTGCACAGCAGGAGATTGGAGCACCTGGGCAGGGCCCTGATCCCAAAGGTGTACGAAATTATGATGTACGCGATAAACTTGCACCCACATGATGAGCTTCTGAAGGACCCAATTTATTATATAGCCCGTGTGGTTGGACTTATGCTTATACTAACCACCCCAAAAACATTTAGCAGTAACGCGTAACTCAACAAATTATGTTCAATTTTCGTTCGAATATTTTCCTCCGGTATATTTCCGGTATATTTGGGTAAAATAGTAAAAGATGAGCTTTATATTAATATTAAATATAATTTTAAAAAATCAAATTTTAAAAAAAGTGTTGATTGAAACGCATAAATGAGCACGCGCTTTGGACATGTCGTGACACGTTCGTCGGGATTTTGCCTTTTGGTCACACCGAACTTGCTCTTTTCTTTTATAAACAAAAAAAAAAACGTATTCAACTGAAATTTTGAGGGTGCCGGTTACTCCCAGGATATGAGTCACCTGCCAGTCAATCCTTTAAACAAATTGCGCAAACATGTCCGATTCTAAGAGCCCCAACTCCTGCGTGGAAACACCCACAGCACCTGAATGGCTGTCGAAGTTGGAAAACAGTCGGTCGGAAAATGTCCTGAAGCGATCAAAGCTGGGCCATGAGAGTGGGGCGGGAGCACCCTGCAGCGAGTGCAAGGACAAGTGCCCGGGACTGGATCTCCACTTCTGGCGCAAGGTCTGTCGCAACTGCAAGTGCCGAAAGAATCAACACATTTGCATGGATGATGACGCCACCGGCTGGGCACAATTCGAGATTCTCGGCCAGATAAGGGCCAAGCCAGCATGTAAGTTTTTCGTTGCAAACAAAGTGAATAATTCAGTACAAAAAATACTCCCATTTAGATATTAAAATCAAGGCCCTTGCCAGCCAGCCGGTTCAACTGGAATGGGTGCCACCGAATGCGGCTCCCGACGTGGTCACGGATTACATGGAGAAACTGGGTCCTGCCCAGATACCCGTGGCTGGTAGCGATGCGGCCCACAGGCGAAAGCAGCAATTGGAGTTCCAGGTACCTCCACACGACCTGGATGCAGCTCTGTGCGATGGTTTGTCCGAAACAGAAGCCCGACAGCTGCAGCAGTATGTGCAGAAGCTTCGCGAGCAGTGCGTGGGCCAGGGAATAGTTGTGCGCGTTGGCAACCGCTTGACACATGGCCATGTTGAGCATGTGGCACCCCCAATCCACTCGGAAGCGGCCAACAAGGCCTGGCAATATCTGGGCCTCTCGCCCGTGGCTGATGCCACACTCACAGAGCTGCTGTCCAATCCGAAGGTTAGCGATGCCCTGTCCAGCCAGGTGAATGCCCAGCCCAAGCTGCTAGTGGCCTTCTCGGAGCCCTTGACCGACTCGATAACACAGTTTGATGAAAACGGTGCCCTCCAGGCACAGACCAAGGAAAAGCTGCTGGGAATCAGCAAGACAGCGCTGCAAAGTCTCGTTACCCATGGCGTCATCTATGACAAAGTGCTGGGCATGCTTCAGGTAAGAATATACTTGAACCTATCTGCAAAAGAACTCATTCAAATGGAATTCCCCTTTAGGAGAAGAACCTGAACATTTCAAGGGATCCCCAGCTGGGGCCCATCGCCGAGTTCCGCAAGGAGTACGTGAATAATCCACAATTCAGGGCAGAGATCAACACCATCTGTCCGCAGCCCATGACGGCGGTAACGCCACTAAAATCCTCGCCAGCTACTCCCTTCAACTCTCCGCTGCCGCTCAAGAATCCGGTGCAGGCCAGGTTCGGGGCCCAAATGCGACAGGACACGCCCATGCGACGTGTCAAGTTCGGCGGAGTCTCCACCATTGTCTACGACTGCGGTCTGCCGGCCAACATTGACTATGAGCGCGATCCGGTCTTTGCCCAGATCATACAAGCGGAGCCGCTGAAACATGCACTGCTAGAGGTGCGTGCCGGACGCCCTCCTCCGCCCGTAATCATTGCCAGCTCGCCAGCTGCCGTGGAGAGCCTCAGCCAGCTGAACGGGCTGTCGCCCACAACCAAGGGGCAGCTGCAGGAAGTCGGAGTGGACAGGCATATGCTCCAATCGGCTGTGGCCAATGCTCCGTACTACGATCGTCTCTTCCGCACCCTCCAGGACAAAGGAATCGAACACGACAAGTGCCAGCTACTGCAGCCCATCAAGCAGGTGCACGACTGGCTGCTGAACGACGAGCAGCTCCTCGAGGATATTGACAAGGTGTTCGCTGACATGGCCAATGCCAGTCGAGACATTGCCTATGCAAAGCCGTACGGAGATTTGCCCACTTCCCAGAGCAACGATTCCGGCTTCCATTCGAAGCCGTCGACCCCAGGCTATGGCAGCGAAGACCTTACCCCCGGCCTGGGCAAATTCACCACCATTCCAGGCATCGAGGACATGAACATGTATCCCAATTGTGCGGGCATGCCGGAGCAGTTCCAGCAGTTGCGCCTGCAGGGCAACGAGCCATCAGCCAGAGGTGAGATTATGCAGAGGAAATTCAAATCTAAGCTTACAGCTCATCCTTTTTTAGAGCCCGTGCCCAGCATAAACTGCGGCGATTGCAATCAGCCCATTGGCTGCGGCGAGGTGGCCGTCAAGGCGGAGCGCGCTGGCAAGGAGATTGCCTGGCATCCCGGCTGCTTTAAGTGCCACACTTGTCGCGAGCTTCTGGCCGACTTGGTGTACTTCTTCCACCAGGGACAGGTGTATTGTGGCCGCGACCTGGCCATCAAACTGAAGATACCACGCTGCAAGGCCTGCGACGAGCTGATCTTCACCAAGGAGTACACTGCTGCCGAGGGCGCCACGTACCACATAAAGCACTTTTGCTGCTATCAGTGCGATGAGCCGCTAGCCGGTCAGCAGTACATTCCGGACGAGAAGTCCAACATGCCGCTCTGCCTGCAGTGCTACGACAAGTTCTTCGCCGTCAATTGTAGACAATGCCAGCAGCCCATCGGTCCGGCGGACCAAGGTGTGGCGTGGGGCGACATCCACTGGCACGGCCAGTGCTTTGTCTGCGCTGGTGTCCAGTGCTCAAAGTCGCTGATCGGCGGCCGCTTCTGTGTCAAGCAGGACTTGCCCTTTTGCAGTCCGACCTGTGTACGCAGCCGCATTCCATGAACCCCGAACGAAACCACTTAACAGTATTTAAATGTGAAAGCACAAAGTATAATGTAACCCCAAAATGAATATCTAACTGATTGCAACAGACTCAAAGTGCCTAGAATAGATTTCAATGCAACGATATTTACAACTCCAAACACTTTTGCCGTGCCAATAGATATGTATGTATGTACAAGAGGATATTTACACATTGGAAAGTTTCATATATACAGGAAGCCAATTTTTATAACGCACACGAATTTTGAATAAAGCCTTTTAAAAATTAGAAACTGCCTATCTGTATTCAAATCCGATCCCATGATCGATCGCAAGGAATAAAAGCTCATTTGGATTTGTTGATTTTGTTACGTATTTTGCTGGTAGTTTTTATTGGTAATTGCATTTCTCGTGTTTTTATTATTTAATCGTAATAATTCCACTTTTGTTGATCTTTCTGCTTGCTTGCTTATGATGCTCGTATGTAGGTGTATCTGTATTTGTGTCTATGCATGTATAAAGTTCTTTTGGATTTCTCCTTTCCAGAGTAGTTCATTGCACAAAGCGAAACAAGAGCGGAATCACATTCACATATCGTATCTGCCAAATTACAATCGAGAGATAACTGTTTCATATGGTACATATACATACATATATTTACATTATATATGTATGTGTGTATTTATTTCAAGGATAATTTCATAGATTAGTTGCTTTCATTTTGTTCAGTTCATTCAATGTATTGCTAAGTATGGGTACTTATGGGTGTGCACTATCCATTTCTTCCATCTCGCACAGAAACACCCAGAATGGAGCTACTCGCCAGTAGCGCTGCCCTTTAGCGGTGGCAAATAAAGTGCTTTTCCCACCCCCATCACTAGGAAATTTGTTGGAATTCTATGGGTTCTGTTGGGTCTATTGAGTGGGGCGGGCAGGATTTGGAGTGGAGTGGGCTGGGTTCGGGCTTGGTTGTATTTGGGGTTGAATTCAGCATGATTTTTATCGATTTCTAGTTGTCTATACTCTTCAGTTAGTTATTTTGATCTTAAATTAACACTAAGTTGCTTTTGCTTTGATTCGTTTTGTTATTCTTTCGTTTAATATGTATTAATTACATTGATAATTAGTTTATTTATAAGTTCTGTTCGTAAACATTTTACATGATAGGATTCTTGCGTGTGTTTATTTATGTGTGTGTGTGTGTGTTTGTCTGTCTGTATAGATTTACGTGAGTTCTTTTCCGTATTTTGCTACAACAAAAACTATGCCTTACAATAATACTTTAGTTACAATTTTATTTTATTCATTTTCATCTTGCTTGCTTTTCTCGCTTTGCATAAATTTCCTCTGCGCTCTTCATGCGTCTTTTTCTTCTCTACCACAATATTATCTCTCTCGCTTGCATAACTAAAAACAATCAACAAAAGGAGTTAAGTTCAAATAAATTTGTTTTGCAACTAATAATTATGTATATGTATAATCTAAATACGTATATTTAATAGGGGTTCTGTGGGGAGGGGATATGGGGGCTAGGCTGGTGTGGATAGGGAGGCAAACGACAACTAAAATTAAGCCTTACACATTACGGGGGTGGTGGTTGTGTGTGTGTTTATGTGGTGGGTACCGGGGGAAGGGAGGAATAAAAACACTAATTACAAAGCGATATGGCAACACTTTTCGTGTGTCTGCCAGTGTCACCACACACACATGGCGTGCCCAATCCTCGCGCGCGATTGTTTTTCTTTCACTTTTTTTGTTTGTTTTGTGTTTCTTTTAAATAACTAAAAAACTGTATAACCTTAAACCAGGCGTCTCTCTGTCCCGCTCCCGTAGGTCCGTCCGTCGGTCGGTCCGTCCGGTACGGTCTGGGTCTGGTCTGCTCCGTTGCACACATCTTAAAGCTATACACAAAAAGTTAAGTTGAATTTTATAAAGATTTCCTTCTTCTGTATTGATTTTTGTATCCAGCAGAGGAACGCCGCTCCCCCCTAGTTGACCAAGCGGGATGGCGTGCTGGCATCGGCAGCAGGATCAGGTCTTGAAAGTTCGCCTTAGACGGACGTAGTCCTAGAATCGAATCCGTCTGCACTCCCACTCCCAGGCAAAGTTGTGCCGAAGGGAGTGCCCTGAGCTGGGAGCCAACAGACCACCACATCCACATCCACGTCCACGTCCACGTCCACGTTGCTCTGTCGGTTGTCAACAATTCGTGTAGACGCCTTGTGTGTAGTACAACTCCGTGATGCGCTCCGGCAGGGTGCTGTACAGGTTGGTGATCAGATCGAGGGGCAGGCGGGACCACGCCTCCTTGATGCGGAAAATCAAGTCGTCCTTGCGCGAGAACTTTCGCCCGCCGTCGAACACCTCCCGGATGAGCCAGCCCCAGATGTTCTCCATAATGTTGAGGTCGTGCGCAATGGTTGGCCACTTCTGGGTCTTGAGACCCTCGGCATTGAGCAGGTCCTGGGCAGTGGGCAGTGCATGCGACATCCAGTTGTGATCCTGCAGGACAAACTCCGTACTGCCACCCAGTTTGCTAATGATATTGGGTCGCTCACGCATAACGGCCTCGATGCAGGACTCGGGACGCAGTTTGGCCGACGACACCTCCAGATGGAGGGCCCCACCCACACAGATCATCAGGTAGATGTAGACAGAATTGCCTCGCGGCCGCTGCGACAGAGTGCGCTCGTAGTTCCTCAAGTCGTGAAAGTAGTAGGAGAAGCCGTCGGGTCCGTCCAGGTTAAAGCGTCGCTCGTCGTGAAAGACCACCCGCCGCCAGTGCTCCTCGCTCCACACGATGTACGTGTTGGCGAAGTTGAGGCGCTCCGTCTGATTGTACTGCGAGAGTGAGGGCTCTGTTTTCAGCTTCTTGGCGCAGTTCGTTGAGCTGGAGGAAGAGGCTGACGAGGAGCTTGACGACGCCGACGAGGAAGAGGAGGAGGAGCTCGATGACGAGGACGACGTGTTGGCATTGCCGGCGGCCGTGGCTCGCAGTAGAGCGTTGGCAGCGGCTGCAATGTTACTGCTGTTTGGTCCGCCCACAGCCGTGACCCTTTGGATGATGGTGGGTGATACACTGGAGCCATTCGACTGCTGTGTGGGCGCATGACTGGAGGCTGTTCCGCCCGTACTCGAGCTGGCCGCAGAGAAGTTGGAGTTCTGGTTCAGTGCGTGCACGGGCAGATGTGTCTGTGGCGTTTGCTGGCTTTTCAGCGGTGCGTGCGGATTGCTGTGGCTCATCTGTGGCTGCGGCTGCAGCTGGAGCTGCTGCTGGGGCTGCGTCTGCTGGTAGTACGGATGATGATAGCTTATGTGCTGCTGGTGCTGGTGGATTGTGGGCTGCTTCAACTGCAGCTGTTTTAGTTGCGTCTGCGACTGAGCCAACAGTTGCTGCTGGTGCTGATGCTGGTGCTGAATTTGATGCTGGACCGTGGTGGCGTTGGGCATCTGCTGTATTCCCGGATGCTTCAGATAGTAGTGCAGGGCCATCAGGTTATTGGCACTGGTCTGCGCTGTGCTGGTGGGGACTGGAACGACTGTGGGATTGCCAAGGCCGCCACCGCCGGCTACTAGCTGCACTGTGGTGGTGTTCGCTCCTCCTGGCTGCTGGCCGTGCACGGCTGCTGCCGCTGCCGCCGCTGCTCCAATCGCCCCCGCACTGGCGGCCAGCTGGGCGGCTGACTTCGGGTCATAGATGAACTTGTTGAAGTTCTGCAGATCGTCCGGACTGAGCACGATCGTTTTCATTTGGAGTCTGTTATATGATAAGGATAACTATTCAATTAGCTGGATTTTCAGTTGAATTTACGTTTAGTTGCTCATGGATTGGTTCCGTTCCTAGTGTCTTTCTTAGTGCTATCCAGCACTGGTTTTACGCCCCCACGCGTACTGGCTATGTGGCAACGCTGGGCAAATGCAGTTTAGCGGGGACCGAAGGGGGCCTTCTCACAGTTTTTGGAGCTTTGATTACGCACGCATAAACGCTCACGCACTCTCCGCTGGGCCTGGCTTGGTTTCCAAATGCGTTGTGCGTGTTCGAGTTTTTGGTTTTGGACAGCAACCTGTCCCGTCTCAGATCTCACTGTTAGCCGTTCGGTTTCTCTCTCTCTCTATCCTTCTCTTTCTTTGCCTCTGTGCGTTATCAAAGGGCTGGCCCGATCAACTGTGAACGAACACTCTCTGAGGCTTGCTTGCCGTCTTCTTCTGATTGCAAAACTCTCTGCTCGTAAAAAGATGTCGGTTTACTTTCCCACCGTCAATCGGGCACGTACAATGCTTCGTCTCTCTTTCCACTGTGTGTGTGTATGGGTTAGCTGTATGGGTGTCTGTGTGAGCACTTCCAATATGTTATCCTCTTTTGTTGAAGTGGTTTTTCTTGTCGTTGCCTGCCTGCCTGGCCTGGCTGCTGCTGCTGCAGTTGCTCGGCTTGCTGTGCAAATGTTTCCTTGTTTCTTTATTCTGCGTGCTCGCTTCGTGCTGCCGCTGCTGGATCTGGCTGCTGCTCTTAGTTATTCCGTTGTCGTCGACGTTACCTGGAATAAAGTAAAGCAGGTATGTGAAAAAGAGTCTTGTTTCACACTTTGCATTGTGTGTGCTTTTATATGCAGTATACATACTGTGTATGTGTGCATGTGTACTTGCACATTCACACAGATGCAGCCGAAAACATGTATTCAATAATTTTTTTGGCTGGTGAAATCAACAAACCAAAAATTTTCTGAACAGATGTTCCAAATGCTCAGATTTCAGGTCTCGTCCCTCGAATCCCTAGCAGAAAGTAAATAAAAAAGGTCGCCCTGTGGCTTATCCGCCCGTCTGTCTGTCTGCTGCCCGTCCTTTTCTCGCCGCCTGTCTGTCGGTGGCTACCTTTTGTGTATATTCTCTTTCAAAACGAAATGAGAGCACACACACACATTTACTCGCAAGTGCAGTTTTTGGTTGCAATTTTAGTATTTTAAACATTTTATGCAGTTGCAATTTTTGCAACTCCGTTCCGACCGCCTATACTGTCTTCTTCGCTTCTCTGTTTACCTTTTGTTTTTTTTTTTTTTCATTCTTCTTTTCGTTTTTGTTGTGTCTGCTCCTTGTCAGTGTGCTGTGGTCCCATTTCTTGCGAAAATCGAAACAAGTGGTTGGAGGGTCAAAAGTACAGCACAAGAGAGAGCGTACACACACACACAGAGAGAGAGAGAGAATGCAAGAGAGCAGGTGATGCAGTGCTGCACTGAAATTACTGTAATCCTACAGTCCCGACTCCAAAAATGTATATTCCTGGGATTTATTTTCGATTGGAAAGCCAATAATAAGTTTTTCTATTATTTTCATTTTTTTTTATTCAGAGGGCGCCGCGATAACGTTGCGGTCCCATCCCCGGATTATTTAGTACGTGTGTGTATGTATTTGCCTTTATCATCTGACTCGAAAAATGCGACGACGGCTATGAATGACTATGGGGCGATGACGACAACGTTTCGTTGGCCACGCGCACGCACATGCTCCACCTAGTAATCCCGGCAAAGGGCGGGGCGGCGGCACCTATATAACTAATCGCCTAATCGCATAATAAATTTCATTTCAATAAAATAGTTTTCCCAGTTACAAGCTGGTTTTCCTCGTCCACTCTCTCTCTATCTCTCTCGCTTTCCTCCCCCTCTCGCTCTTTCTATTTTCATCTGGGAAATTGTGAATTTAATACGCATGTTTCCTGCCAGAGCAGTCCTACTGCGATTTCTCAGTTATAATAAAATTAAAACTAAAGTCTGCTCTCGACGGGGATGAAATTCCAGTTTTTCGATTAAAGCAAGGGAAGAAAGCAGGCTCTGCCGCCTCGGCGGCTGCCGCAGGGCATTGTATCCGTTTCACTTCATCTACGTCGTGTATATGTGTGCCGCCTCTGTGTGTTTGGGGTTGCTGTGCGGATGTCAACTGAAGGACTCAGACTACTGCAAAGTCGGTCGTTTCGGGTCGCCGTTGCTTGATCGAAGGGACTGCAGCTGTGGCATCGCAAGTAGGTGCAGCTGGGGCCAAAGTCTCACCGGTTTCAGCGGGTCGAAAGTTCAATGTGGGAAGACCTGCTATGAGTCTAGCAGTCGACAGGCTGGACAATGTTAGAGATATTTTGCCAAATGTGCCCGCAAACATAGCCAACGTTCATGTAGTGTGTAGTCGTGCTTTGTGCTCAGCTTTTCATGAAAATGATTTTGCAAAATGACTCAAAATTATTCCCCTAATCAGTTTACTGTAATTGCCGAGATGAAGGAATTTAGAATACACGTTTCAAGCAAAAGCTGCCCTTGGGAGTTCGAGTCACATTGAAAAGCAGTTCATTGGCTTCTATCAGTTGGTTCCACCCAAGCGGCAGTCCCTTATCGATGAATATGTCAATTAGTTGCTTGAGAAATGGTCCATAGAGATTTTCACTTATCGTTTGAGCTGTAAACGACTTTGATCCACAGTTATTGCTGTAGCTTTCTACAACGGATAAACAGATGGCCCACAATCGATACCATTCTTCTCTCATTTTCCATGTCGATTAAATTCCACCGCCAGTGCATTCTTCTGCGCAATTATAAGAAGTTGTAGATATGTACGGAGCACTGATTGATTATTTAGCGAGTGTACACACACACACACACCGCGTGATAAGATACCGCAGAAGGCAGCAACGCAAGCTCAAATAGCACGAGAACCTTTGTTTTGTGTGAACTTTGGCCTTGCGTTCGTAAATGAACGCCAAAAACTGGTTGTACTTGGGTGAAACTACATATTCCGCTGCCGTCGTTGTCGCTGATGCTGGCATCAAGCAATTTGTAGGAGAGCAGAGCCCTTGGAATCGCTGTAGGCATACAAGTTTTGGTTTGAAAATGTGTATATACCCTTACAAAGGGTAGTACAATTTCAACCAGTCGATTGTAATGCTCTGATGCGAGGCATTTATGACACTAAAAGTTTCTATATTTTTAGTTTCTTCTGCTGGTAGTACCTAAGGTACAGTATAGGCACATTATACTGCTGTTTATTGTTGTATATTGTTTTATCTATGGATAGTCGAAAAAAGCGAAGACAATGCGACAATCTAATCAATTGGCAAAGTATGTCCTTGATAAGTTTCTTAATTAAGTTTGACATCTGTAAAACAATGACTAATCAATTTTTAAGCAATTGACTCATGTTCGAGGAACTGTTTCAGAGTTATTTGCTGTGACGTTAGCACATTTTCATTCAAACGTGATTCACATTCGGTATTTAAGCGAGGTTTACGAGGAATATCCGGTACCATATGGATTCACATTTTTTTGTTTATAGGTAACGCTTTCACTGGTTTTCATTTGCACAGGTATCCTTTTGAGCACATTTTATTTGGCAGCACTATTTTCACGAACCGCACTGTATGTATGTATTATGTATTGGTGTTGCTGGGCAAGCCCTATGACCAAATGGAAGTATTTCGTGGAATATATTTTACGGACTACGCTTTGCGGGTGGGGATCGAATACGGTTGTCGCTGCACTCTCTGCAGTCCCCACATGCCCTATGCCCATACCCTCACCCGTTTCCATGGCTATACCCTTTCACGTTGTCGCGTCTCGCGTTGCACTCGCCAGTTTCCCGTTACGTTGCATTCAAGGAGCCAGCCAGCAGCTCTCACACGCAGAGAGAGCGAGAGAGAAAGAGATGCATATGGGATATGGATGGAATGGAGAGATGCAGACATGCATGAACATGTGTAAATATCCAAAAATATAAAACGAACCCAACGACCGAACGAAACGCTCGACGTAATAAAATCCCTTGCTCTCTGCGGACAACGACGCTGGCTGCTCAGCCGCTGCGCAGCCACATGCTTTTTTATATTTATAAATTGAGCCAGCCCTTATGTGTTCGCTCTGCTCGCTCACGGCTATTTACAACAACAGCAACAACACAACCAGTCGAACCAAACATATACATACATACAATATTGTCTCTATGTCCGAACATGCGTGCGTGTGTTTGTGCGCGTCGTGTTTTTGTGATGCCATCGCGATATTGAAAGTACATGTGTACATACACACACATACATATATATATATTTATACGTTCATGTGTAAGCACGTATGTATGTACTTTTATATATCAACGTACGTTGAACGAGAATCGAATCGCGTTGAAAACTGCTTGTGTTTGCGAACAACGGGACGATCTGATACGAAGTGCTTCTTTTTTCAGTTAATTCTTTATATGTACATATGTATATATGCGAACATGTACATTTATATGCATCATTTTCGCTTTTTTTTCACGGAACAAATATGGCTGCACAATAAAAAGCGTTGCTTACGCTGCTTTCCTCACACTTTTCCACTGTTTAATACATTTTTATTTTCAATTCTTTGGCGTTTTTTTTACAATAATGATTGCTGACTGGCTGATTGGATATCGTTTATTCCGTTTACGTTGCGTTTGTTGGTTTGCTTTTGGGTTTGAGTGCGTGATTACGCCATTTTCTTTACTGCTGCTCCCTCAGCACGCCCATTTCACATTTACCTTTTCGCTCGAGGCGTGGTTTTTTTTTTGTTGATTTGCACACGCGTACACTGGCTGTAACGTGTAATATTTGAATTTTCCAATCAATATACTGACTTATTATCCACTAGTTTAATGAAAAAATCATTTTCATTTAAATGCAAATTAGAGGTGTCAAACCAAAGAGGACACTAACGATAGTATCGATATTTTGCTGCTAGCCTCTACTATCGCTGGTTTTGAGACTATCATGATAGTATCGAGCTACAGTCGTTGCGCTTTTGATATGTTTGGATTGGCTGCTATAAAATACGAAGACACATTTGTAAACAAATCGACAGGTGGCACCTAATTTTTACAATGGACAAGTTCCTCAAAGGTTTCAATGGTTTTTGAATAATTATTTGAGCCCGATACTATTACGATAGTATCGATTGTTTTTTCCAAGACATTCAACGTTGATATTCCTCGATTTTGATATTCCGTTTAATATTACTAGCTAGTTGGGCCTCTCAGCCCTAAACAAATAATTTTATCCGATAGATACGTTAATTTTCTACAAGATTGGCTAGTTTTCAGAAGTCCTTTTTATTGCATTGATTACAAAAAAAGGTGCAAGCAAAAACGGCCAAAGCATAAAACGTAAATGTTGACTAATAGCCTGTTTACACTATGGGTGAGTTATTGAGCTATTGCGTTTAGGGAAAAAATCAGTTTTTTTTACATATGTTTAGCATAGGATCCTAGTGGTGGCAAAAAATGTAGCTGTGGTTACATTTCAGTTGAGTTTGTTCGATTCTACGATTATTTTAACCCTGTTCGCCTATTGTGTGAACTATCACCACTAGAAACAACAACAACAAAAACATGGAAAAATAAGGGAAAATATAAATTTACATATGTTATTTAAAAAAAATACTTTTAGCCAATTTTATCGTTAGAAGCGAGATTTTTGTGGACCTTTATGTATGTACATGAATGAAAATAAATGAATTTGAGAACTATTCATGAAATGTAGCCCCAAATCTTTTTTGTCCATATTAATAATTTGGTTGATATATAAAATGTTTTTAAAAACACGTACTGTTGTCAGTGTAGACGCCAATTCTGAGTTATTGAGTTAACTCAACAATCGATAGGTAACTCATTTCAGTGTAAATAGGCTAAAAATGTATTTGTATACTTTATTTCTTTTAAATGTTTTGTTCGAAGCTCCATTGAAACATTATTTATGATTTTATCCTAGATTGACATGTTTTTTACCTATTAATGCACATGTTTGTGTTTTATATATACATATATCCCGGTTCTGATGGCTTTTATTTGTACTCGTGAGCTGCATAATTTCGTTAAAATGGCAAAATTAATATTTTACATGGTAACTACACTCTAACTACACATTTGCTACAAACTACCTACATATCGTTAGAGAGCCTAGCGAGGAAAAACGGGTAACAAGAAAATACTGAAAAATACTAACAAAATTATCGAAATAACGCAAGGTGTGTAACCTAAACAGGGTAATCGAAACGAACTTAGCTCAAGGGTGCCTAAGGTGTGTTGAAGTGACTCCGGCTCCAATTAAACAGTTGGTAAACCTTGAAATATAACCGTAGATAAATTCGTCTTGTATAACGATTCTTTCCTCTTTATTTAAAAAACAATGAAACCATATCTTTAACCTGAACTGCATTAAAATGAACTGCGTTCTTAATTTTCTTGGGGTGATCAACAATGGGCTAATCGTTCTCTGTTCCTGATCTGAAATCATATGTGTCCTGTCCTGACACCTATTCTTATTAACATAAACTGTTCAATTTCGTTAAGTTAATATATCTTAGAGATGAGTTTTTCAAAAGGTTGTCAAGTAACTACCAAGTACTTTTCGATACTTGCTGTGACAGTGCTGTAAAATGTAAGAAATTGAATGTGGCTGATTTGGCAGCACTGGTTACCGCACAAAATTCAAATTCAAAATCTTCGAGTGTTCCCTTAAACCTTGTATGTTGCTTGCATATAGAAATGTTATAATACAGCTGATGGATTAAAAAAAAGAATCACTGTGAAGTTCGTGTGCTGCATGAGCACTCCCTTCTGATGAACTACAATGCCCAAGTACGTCATACCTACCGCAGTTTCTGCTGCAAGTTAATACTTGATCATACAACGACAGCGGTAACGGCACCTTACATAACAGAGTGGGTAAAGGCGTTGAGCCAATACCCAGCAGACAGCCATGCCATCAATGTGTGCTTCATTCAGCCTGGCCCCGGACCAACGTGTGCCGGGCTTCATCTGCGATAAGGGAGTCGAGTCCCGAACTGCACCTACCTGGGCGAGCAGCATGCACTGGGAGAAACCTCCATGATGCCTTGTGCATGGAATAACTGGTTTGATGCTGTTTCTGGCAGTGCACCAGCGATCTGCTTATCAATAATTTGTTTTTCTCCTTTTGCTGCATTTAGGCAGAGATTCTCTGGCGATAGCAGCTCAAGTGTCACACGCCCACATTTTTGGAGCAGTCGATCCTCGCTTGGACCGCGGACTGCGGACCGATCTGCTGGGCAATCGGCTCCAACTGCGGCTATTTGCACATACGCCACGCCACGCCAATAAACTTGTACCCACCACCGAGGCACGCTTTGATCCTCATTCTCTCAGTCCTCATCTTCAGGCTCATCCTCTGTTTTTGTTTTTGGTCTTTGGTCTCGAAGGCGGTCGGCACACGCTTGCGTTTTGGTTTCTCCCCTCCGCTGCTTTTGGCCTTTTCGTTCGTTTGGTCTGGCCGGCTTGGCCTGTCTTGGCCTGGCCTGGCCTGTTGCCTGGCTTGGCCCCTCTGCGCATAAATCCACGCGGAGCCACGACTCCGAGGCCGAGGCCGAAGCCGAAGCGAGCGCCGGCGGCAATTATCGCGATGTGATAAACAAATATTTTGCATCTAAGGTAAGAAGCAAGAGGCTTTCCCGGCATTCTGGCGCTTAATTATGAACTCTGTTTGCACTGTGGATGGGGATGGGGATGGGGCTGGCTGCCATTGGGCCTCTACGCGTGGCCTTACTCGTACTCGACTCTCGTCTTCTGGGAGGTTTGTCTTTTGGGCTTGGCTGGGCCGCTGCCAGCAGTTGTTGCAATATGCAATTTAGAAGCTTATCTCCAGCGGGATACCAATCGCTTGGCCGTAACCCCCGCGAGAGTGGGTGGAGAGTGAGATGGGAATTAAATATGGCTCTATTTTGCAGATCCCCAGTGTGCAGAGGGGCTTTTGGGTTCGTATTCGTAATTTGGGTTGAGAAAGCAAATGGGGGAATGGTGGCCCCAAATCTAAGCTAAGCTAAAACTAAATGAGATACTAATTTTGATAGAAATATCAAAATCTCTGCCATTTGGACCCCCTGGTTGGGCCATATCCATATAACACCCTTCCCCAGAGGTTCCGCACATTAAAATATTTGCATACGCTTCTATGTATGTATGGGTGAGTGCACATGCACATGTATGTATGTGTGTATGTACACACACACACACATACGCGGAGCGACATTGGGGTCTCCACCAATTGAAACAAACCAAATGCAAAGTCGACTCTCCCACAACAAATGGAACGGGAAACAGGTTTTCCACCTCGGAAAGTGAGACTCAGACCAGGCCAGGCCAAAGCCAAGACTCTGACTCTGGCTGGAGAGGAGCTCTGCTCTGCTCCAAGTCAAAGGTAAGAGCCAAAGCCAGAGCCAGAGCCAGAGAGAGAGAGAGAGAAACGAACGAATATTAAATAAAGTTTGTTTCATTCGATTCAAAAGAACTTGCCGCTCTGTCTCTTGCTCTGTGATATCGACTTTGCCTGGCCACTGCCACTGCCACTTGCCTCTGACTCCGACCACTGACTACCGACTCCCGACGTTGTCTCTGCCTCGTTCCGCTTTGCTGAGCAGCTGCCACTCTCTGGCCGCTCTGGCTCTGGGCCAAGACTGCGCGAAAGGTTTTGCTCGTGCGCTTTTTAGCTTTTCGCTTTTTGGCCTTATGCATCGATACCGACACAGGCACAGGCAGAGGCAGAGACAGAGGTACCGACCCGACATCCACATTCACATCCACATCCACATCGACATCGCAGCGGGTTCACCTCTGAGAGAGCGTCGGGCAGTGGCAGAGTTTAGTTGGTTTGCGGTTCGTCATCAGCGTGGTTCATCAGTGAGGTGGCTCTAGCTTTAACTCTGTCTCAAGCTCCGTTCCCATTGACATCGGCATCGCAATCGCCATCTCGGTCCACGTCTCCGTCTCCGGTTATAATCATAAATATATCTACATACAGACTGGCCTGGCCCCCAGCCGCCTCTATACCAGAGATCTCGGTGCGAGTATATGGGCCCAGTTTTGTTGTGTTGCTGTGCATTTTCCCAAGAGTGCGATTGTATCTGTGCGTTTTCGGTTTGTGTAATGTTGAAGCCCTTGATTTTAAGCAACAGATACGCTCATTAGTCGCGTCCCCTCTCAGAGGCTTGCGATCTGAAACGCGTTAGCCAGGCCTGTGCCAAATCTCGGCTATGACCGCCGCGTGAGCCCCAAAAGTACCGAAAGTGTACCGATCCGCGAGTGCCCAGTGTGCGAAAATGTCCAAGCCATTAGCCATTGCGAAATCCTAGACCGTATGTGGGTTAGGGTCTAAGCCAGAAACACAACCAAATCCGCCAGCGAAAAGACACAGAATTCACACAGACAGACGGACAGACAGTTGGACAGACAGACCCTGGGACTGCCATCAGTGGCGACAACAACGTATGAGTAGATTTATGGTTGGAACTGTAACTGGGCAAAATGCTTGGCCCAGCAACTGCCATCGTGCCACCAGCCAATGTACAACCCACCGACGACTAAGGGAAAAAAAAACTAACGGAATAATGCAACATTAAGCAAAATGCTGCTGGCCCTGCAACAGCAAAGACCCCTACAACACCAACACTTGCAGCAAGAGCAAGAGAAACATCAACCTGCCACCGCCTGCAACTGCGCCACCGCCATCGCCATCGCCGACATCGTTGTCGCTACCATCAAAATCACCCACACCAACAACAATTCCAACAGCACCAACAACAACAAAAATAGTAACAAAAACAACGATTCCAACGTTTTCTACAACAACACGAAGATTTTCTTCAACAACATAGACTCCCACAACAACAACAACAGCTCCAAC